GCTGGCCTTCTCAGAAAGTATAGACTTTGTGCAGAGGCTTTTAGACAAAGATTTCGGGGTGCTAAAAAGTCTAAGAGCGAGAGCTATTCTGACTTTCTGTACAAAATGAGAGCGAATTTGACAGAATGGCTAAAGAGCACCGAGTCATACAGTGACAGGAACGCTGTAGTGGAGAGGATTCTGTCGAGAACAGTTTTTGAACTGTCTCTCAGAGCATGATAAAAACTGTTTACTGGACCGGGGTGACATAAGTTTTGCGACGAGAGCGGCTGAACTTGTCGAAGAGTACGCATCACGCAGATATTATAGCAGCAACCTGGGAGCCGATAGAACCTATAATTCCAAATCAAACTCGAATAAAGGTTATGGGAAACATTTTTCGAGTTTTCGAAATGAGAAAGGGAAAAGAAAGGTCCTGCCTGGCAAATTTCAAAAGAAGGATAGTGAACCAAGTGAGGAGGGGCAAACCGCAGGAAAAACGAAAAATACTTTTGAGGTTAAGAATCCGTTCGCTTGCTTCAAGTGCAATGAGACTGGTCACATAGCCAAGAACTGCCGAAAAGAAAAGACGGCGTTTTCATTTGTCAGTTGCTGCGCTGAAAACATGAGGTTACTAGAGCCTTACATGCATGACCTGGTAGTGAATTGAAAGCCATGCAAAGGGCTGTGGGACTCGGCAGCAACAATGGATGTTGTCCACCCGTCGAATGTGTCACCATCCGACTACACAAGACAGTGCGCATGGATACGCCAGGTGGTGGAAGAGCAGAGCGTATGCTTGCCCGTCGCAACCGTTGTAATTGAGGGCCCCTTTGGTAAACTAACAACCGAGGCTGCAGTTTCAGAAAAACTTCCTGAATTTTATCCGTACCTGTTCTCAAACAAGTCGGATATGTTATTGCGAGAGAAGGGCATTCTCTTCGGTGACAGGGTAGTTCAGGCGTTAACCCATTCAAAGGTGCGAAAATTGGCAACTCGGCTATCCTCTGAGTCAAATATTATTGATCAAGCGCATGACGTAACAGTGGTGCAAACAGAGGAAGACAATTCAGGCAACCGTGGCAGCGAGGCACAAGAGATCGGTCAGCCGGAGGAGGAATCTCGCGAGTATGCGTTACTTCTGCCAGCATCAGACAGGTTCACTTTACTTCTGAATGGGAACAGGGGTAGCTTGGCTACTGAGCAGTTAGAGGAGGATACCGCCATTCAGGAAATTAGAGAGCATGTCGAGAGCGAGGCCTTCGTTGGTCTGGAGGGAGAAACCGTTTCAAAAGACGGTACTTGCGAAGAGGAGGCGGGGGCCAGCAGTTCTAATGGGCTCAGTAAGGAGCTGTAAACCATCCTCATGCCTCGAAAGGACGCTTCAACATCGTCAAAGGTAGGCATGGTTAGCTCAGTGGCTGACGAGAGCAAGAACGCCATGCTTCAGCAGTGCAGCGTTACTATCGAGCTGATTTGCTAACATCGCAGAAAAAGAAAGAAGTGGAAGCGTTCGTCACTGCGTAAGCCTAGGACAGGTCCCACTCAGTCGCAAGAAAGACGAGAGGGTAGGCCATTTATCTGTTTCAAGAAACGTCAATGGTGGTGTTCATGGAGGCACAAGCGGCGAGCCAGGTGTGAAGGGGAGAAACAAGGTACATTACCCTAACGAAACGCGTGGTTGAGTTCGACAACTTCGGGACAGCGGCCTTTGCCGAAGGGTCAAAGTCGAAAGGGCAGAGTGGCTAAATACCGCGTAGGGGTGAATACAAAGGGAAAATGGCACAGGCTCCCCCCAGCTTCTGGCGTCACTTTCAAATTCCTGCGGAGAATAGGCCGAAGTGTAAAATGAGGTGTGACGGCAGTGCACTGCTTAGAGTTTGTGCATTTTGTAGCCTCTAGCGTGCTCGAAAACCGCCGGGACCGCGACCCCATCGTGTGCGATTAAAAGAACCATGAGAAAAGGGGGCGGTCAGTGTGAGTAACTTTTGCACTGGCATGTTCAATATTCTTACTCAGTGTTGCATAGGTGATGCAAATTTGAGTGATTTTAATTTTGTAATTTACATGATGCAGAGTAAATTTTTGAAAAGGAAAACCGCTGAACTAAAGGCTCAAAATTGAAGTCCGTTAATCATTTGTACGAATATACCGAGAAGGTAAAAACAAAAAAATTGTTATATATTTTTTTAGTGTTTAAAGGTTTAGTGTAATATCGTATGCCTTTACTCTCATGTGGATGTGGCGTGAATTCGCATTTAAGGAAGAAGAAATTAACATAGACTAGATGATTTCGTAAAATGATTAAGTTTGGCACAACACAGTGGAGTTGTCGTTGCGTGCTATGAGAATTGAGAGCCATTGGTGCACAGTTTTAGCAAAACCCTGTGCATTATTGTGAGGTGCGTTTGATGAGTATTGCACTTTGCATTATTTTGTGTTTTACACGGTGTGTTGCTACGTAATGTAAGGATGAATGTTTAGACCAACTCTGAAGGCTTAAGCGTTTGGTTAGTAGTGCCGTGCATTTTGCAGCACTGCAAGAATGAGAATAATTGAAAACGCTCAGAAGAACTCGGTGTTTTTATAATCAAAGGCGTTAGCAAAGGCAGGTAACTAACAGAACAAACCTGCTAGAAGGCAGTGTTTGTTACTTTTTTGTTGTTGTCTTCTTTGCAGAATGATTGTTCTAGTGATCATGAGCAGATCATGAAGCTTTCCCTAATCGTTGAGGTAGGCCGTTAGGTCACAGCTTGGGTTAAGCTTTTGGGAGGCTGGTGAGCTTCATGTCTCAGTAGTAGACGATCATTGGCGACCGTAAACAGACGAACATCAGGACAATTTTAGCGCTCGCTCAATCCGAGTTCCGGACCGATGCTCTCAGCGGGATAGAACCGATAAAAGTGGTCAGCGATGAAAAGAAGGAAGCAGCTGTTTTATGTCAGGACAACAATGGTAACAACTAAAGATGCGCTTTACTTGAGCTAGAAATTGGGCTCTCGTGAGATAACCTACTGTGCTTCAGGAAAGGAATGCGCTTGCATTGTGTAAGCCATTCATCAGTTGCAGTGTTAACTAAGAGGTGCAGAATTTAAAGTAGAGACAGATCATTGTCCCCTTTCTTGGCTGCAAACCATGACATCGAAGAACAGTCGCCTTGTGAGGTGGAGCTTGATTCTTCAAAAATATCATTTTGACATTAGGTATAAAAAGGGCAAATTGAATGGAAACGCTGATGCGCTCAGTCGCTCTTTCTGAACTATCTAGGGGTGCTCTTGATGTATCAAAATTGATATTTTGGTTTTTTCGTGCATCTTGTGTGAAATGTGTAAGGTAGCACGTCTGGTTTTTAGCGCAAGTGAGTCCTGAAAGTTCTGAGTGCGAGCTTTTGGTAAAGCTAGCAATGAAAATTGGTTTGCCATTCCTCTTTTGGCTTGGTTTATTCGAAGGGGGCCGAGTGCTTGCTTGTGCATGTGGTCGAGTTTCAAAGTTGCTGTCGAAGTTTTCGGCAATTACCCAGACCATGCGACAAGCGAAGGCGAGTTCCTGGCATTACACTATGGACCCTTCCGTCGCCACTTCGTGCAGCAGAGGTGACTGCTACCCTCCGTGACTCATCTGGTGAGGGGGAAGCTGTTATGACCGTCGTCAGTAGACACCATGCTGTCGCTGAGAAACGTGGCCGGGCAGCGCTCCCACGCCTGGAACCCCAGTTCTCTCAGAACCAGCGTCCAGTGGCAGGGAGCGACAAAGAGATTAGAAGACGGATTAGAAGGTGGCTTTGGCCAATGTCCCTACAAGCGACTCCTGCGGGCCGGCTTGTTTAGCGAGACGGCGAAGCAGACTGACCGCACAGGTCGTGTCTCCGCGATTCAAGTGTTTGCTCCTTGGCTGCCCTTCCTGGGAAAGGCGGAAGAAGCAACCCAACCGCCAAATTGTTCCGGGAAGGAAGCCCATTTCCCCTATCCTCAGAGCATTGCGTCAAGAGGGGCAATAACTATTCGGCGGACCATGTGCTACTGAATTATGCCCTGTGGGCAGTGTCTTGTGTGTGTGTGATCGACGTTCCAATCAAGGAGGAGGAGCCCGACAGGGTTTGAAACGACGCTGCAGAGTGCTGGACGTCGCTCTGAACCATGTAACAGTTCAACCACCACGCTCGTGGTTTGTGAACTCCTAATCTCCATGCTGCAAATAATTGTAAATAGTGCCATAAACATGTTTGTTTTTCGTATCCCCATCTTGTGGGCGTTCGTTTCCTCAACCCGAAGCTACACCACGCTACCACAAAAGACCGGGTAGACACCGGTCGGCAACAACGGGTGCTCAGCGCTGGGATTCAGAGCGACTACTGGAGAACAGCGCCGAGAGCCGCAACAACTGGTGGCAGCAGTGGGATAGGAAGCTACAAGTCATAACATGTATAAATGCCGCCGTGATTTGCCGCTTATCAGTTGATCGTTGGCCGATGGTCTGTCTGCTGCTATCAATGACAGTGTGTCTTACTGTAATCTGACTTTCTTTTTACGTGGCCACAAGTGCGGCCCAATAAACAGTTTTACCTGACCACCCAGTCTGCTCTCTTCGTCCATGTCACGACCCCGTGACCTCATGGCACAGTTTTGTGTGGTCACATGGCCAGCCATGGTCACCGTGCTACCAGAACTGCGCCTACTCAGTTCTGTGCTCTTTGAAGCCGAAACAGCGACTGGGTGCTTTGAAAATGTCTCTAAATAAATAATTGTCGCGCACTCGTGCAAACAAGGTTTCCAGCCATGTTAGGTGGGTCATAGGTCATTCAAAAAAAAGAAAAGGTGCAATACTTTTGTGTCAGTGCTCCTTTAAAGTGCATACGTTTTTGAGAGGCATAGCAATTTGTCAACTAATGTATCTTCATTTATTGCAGCTAGTTTTTTTTATGAAAACACCATTACTTGCTCCCATTCCAATGGCGGAAGGAGAAAATGTGGATGAGCATGGATGTGCCTGTATAATGCCGAAGTTGCGTGTTTTGATTGCAGGCTGTGGCACCAGCTGACCCTCAAACTGCTCACCTTTGTCTGCAGCCCCAAGATACAGATTGGTCTCTTTCAGGTGAGACTGATCATGCAAGGCACCAAGTTGGTTAACATTAGTTATTTAAAAGGCTAGTTATTTAAAAGGCCCATTGGCAAAGATGAATGAGAGACAGAACAGCTGCATGCGTCCAGTCTCTGTTCAATATTGCAGTTAATAAGCCTTTGAAATTGTTTGCTTTGTTGACTCATAGGTGGTGTGGTACTGTTTTAGGCATCGTGCTCTCTTGGAAGTTGCCAATGCCAGAGATTGCAAGTGTGGGCCATCACTTTAGTTTCACTTCATTATGCATTCAAGATACAAAGGCTCATGATTAGTAGTATGCAGACGAGGGTCCAAAAGTCTAGCAACTACTGTGGGACCCTTGGTTTTAATTTTAACTATAAAAAGATAATTAATCATTACAGTATTTCAGTGTTACACAATGAAAATGGAAGTAAATAGTGAACATGCTAGGAAGTAAAACAAAAAAACATAGTCAAGGTTCTACGACGATTAATAGGAGTTATGTATAGATATAAATATCCACACCATAGATTATAAACCTAAACTGCTAACATTTTTCGAGTGCCCTGTGTAGCTCCATTGTAGTGGGGTTTGACTGTGGAAGACAGTACTGCAATTCTTTTATGATATATTTTTAATTTGTATCTAATGATCATCACTACATTTGCAAGTTTGTTGCTTTAGGTCTATATAATAATGCAGCAAATGCCTCTGCACAAAAAGATTTGCTGGAAAGTTTAACTGCAACAAACCTTGTTTTGTTTGAATTACTGTTCTGTTAGTGTCTTGAAAAGTTCTGTTTTTCTTGCTCCAAGTGCATTATTGGTTTCTTCTAGAAACAACTTTTTGGAATTGTTTTAGCAGCTTAGTATGACAGCTCTTTATGCACGGTTTCCTTTTTTTTAGATAGTGCACTTTTTTTGATGAATACTTTTTAGTACAGTCATGCTCCACTTGTTTTTGCTCATGTACTCAATAATGAGGCAAAGATATTCTGTTATAGCTACAACATTCAAGCTCGTCAGGGACTGACACTTGTTACATTGGGACCAAGAAAGAACGCTCTTTAATGTTTCGTCATGAAAGATATACATTCAGAATGATCACACGACTTCTGTGATATCTAGATAATGGAAAAAAAAAGATAGCACGTCTCTGTGCTTGTCTTTTGAACAGCCGGCCATGGAATGCAGCAGGACGACGTCACAAGAACGACATTGTCAAGACTGATTAATAAAAAACAAATTTATTTTTTAATCACTTGCTTGAGGACAGTCGTTTATATTAGAAAGTAGGCAATTTATGCATTCTGCTACTGGTAAGTTGACGAAGCTCATCAACTTATCAATGTTCTGCATTAATCAGTGAAGTAGGGCAGCTTCACAGTTGCACAGGAGCTGCCAGACACTGTTTCCCATCTTTTCCAGTGATATGTTACTGTGTTGTATGTAAGAAAAGGAAGTGGTGCTGCAGAGGCTGTACCACTGTAGGAATAAGTTGTACATCCTTCAAGAGGCACACTATTCGCTTCTGCGTGCTCATTTCTAGTCGCGCTTGCTTTCTGCTCAATACCAGATTCGCGTATCAGTGTTAAATTTTAATCTGTATTCCTGTATTTCAGATGTACGAGAACTTCATTTCGGAATTCGAAAACAAGTGAGTTTCTTTTTTTTTTTTCTGGTGGCTTTCTTGCTGCTTTGCCACTTTTTCTGTAGCCTCTGAAACTGTGCAATTTACACAAATTCCGGGCCAGGCCCACAGGCAGAAACTTTTTCCGAGGGAAGGGGCACATGGCCACCCTCGAACCTGATCGTTGTGGAGAATACTGGCACGAAACTGGTCCATCATAAGTAAAAAAAAAAAAAAAGCAACATGAGGAATGTCACAAAAAATTCGTCAACAAGGGCTTTGTGTATTAAGAAGTGGACTTGTCTTTTTCCAGGCTTGATTTTTTATCTTATTTTATCATTGCAAGCTTTCATCTTTCTCTCCTGCTGTTATCCGTAGTCATAAACAGTGCGAAATGAACACGGACGAGAATTCACAAACGACCAACGCTGAGGGCCAACTGCTTGAAGGGCATGCACAGAAACTGAAAATGAGAGGAACGAAAAGAAATGAGATCTGCTAGTGGTGTCTGTCTGTGTCCAATATTGTTTATTCGTAAGAGATTAGTTTTCAAGATAGATAAACTCCTTGTTTGCTAGAATAATCGAGGATATGCTAATGCTGTTTATCTTTACATTTCATTGTGAAAGTGTCATAAATTTCACAGGCAGCCTATTCTTTGTACGTGTGAAGCACCCGTTCTTCGTGAAAACGAGGCACGCTTCTGCACTTAGCACAGTGAAGGGCTATATTTCTGCCATTTTTTGCCTTGAGGTTGTTGGCATGTTCGCGCAGACGGTTGTCGAGGTAATGTTTTGTTTGCCAAATATAGTCACTTCCACGGAATATTGGGAACTTTTAAACAATTTAGTACCGGCAAAGGATTTGTTTGTCGTGATGCAGACGCTGCCAGAAGGTTTTGTATATAGTCCCCTCTCCAGATTTTCTGTTTCTATGTGTGTGTACGTCCCTTGCAATAAACCAAGCAGTTAGCAGTCCACGCTGGTCCTGTGTGTCTGTGTTTACTTTGTGCTGTTTTTACGTATGGGTTCGTACCAACTGCTTCCCATTCGCTCTCTTTTAAGCTGCTATTGTCGGTAACATAAGTTACATTAAGTGACACATAATTATTAATACAACACATTATTGAGCGTGGAAACATTTGAACCAACAACACAACAATGGGGAGCTCCATCTTTTTCTCATTGCAGGATGAAGCCCCTCTCTCTGGTCAAGATTGCTGCCCAGGTTTCCCAGAGCATCCCAGGTCAGTGGTGCTGCAAACAGTAAGGGAAATTGAGGTGGGGGCACAGCATTGAAGGGAGCAAGTGATTGCACCCCAGGGGAGCAGACAGGGGACCGAGCTTGTCGGACAGCTCCTGTTTCCATGCCTTTCTTGCTGCATTTGGCCCACATTCGACCTTGGGTTCCACAATCGGCGTTTCCAGGCCACAGTAGGAGCAGCGATTGTTGCCATCTCTTCTCGCGGCTTGTTCTGCTCTTTTAATTGACCAACCCTTCGTTGGACATCATTTTAAAAATAGAAATTCTTTCTCAATATCTACAGAACAACATTTAAGATGATTTTATATGTTTTGCACTATTCCATGAAAATCTGCACAATATATCCTGAGAAATTGCTACCTATATGTGCGACTGTCCTTGTAGCAGGGCATAAAATGTGGTGCACACATGTACCACTGTCCTCAGGTCGTATCAAATGAACAAAAATACTGTATATACCGTATTTACTCGCACAATCAGTGCAGTGGAATATTAAACGCACCCTCTACTTCAGTCGTCAAAATTTCGATTTTTTTTTCCTGGCGTAATAAACGCACCCCTTACATTTGTTCGCTGCAGTTTCACTAACCGACACGCGGTGCCTCTTTGCCTGTTGGATCTCTTCCGTTTTTTATTATCATGCCAACTCCCCTCGGCCACCTTGGCTTGCTTCCTCCCCCTCTTTGCCTCCTGCCACGCACCGTGTACTTTTTTTTCTATCTGTGAGCAACACGTACCCGGTCTTTTTTAAATATCTATGCGCCACAGCGGGGTTCGCGAACGATGAGTGTGTAGAGACATCACAGCTGACAAGTGCACAGTGAGCGAAGGTCACGAAACTTCCCGCGCCGACAGTCGAGTCACTTCCTGCAAATACGAAATTTTAAGGCCCAACCACATGCACGCAATTTTCGAGCCACGACGACAAGATTTGCTGTCACTAGGGGCCATTCATCGCCATAACATAGCAGGTTTCTGAAAACCAGAAATCGCTTGTCGCCCAGAAAAGATTGTAACTTTTTCCGCAACAATAGTTCCCGATTCTTGCTTTTGTTGCAAGTGAGACGGCCTTCGCTGGGTGATTGGACCTTTAAGGCCCCCGGCAGAGGCAACACACCCCTTTGGCCCCGGTTTCACGTAGACGGCACACTTGAGCTAGCCCACCCAGGGGAAATCGGCAGTCGCCTTTTCCTATCTCTCTCTCCCTACATCTTCGTTTTTAGCTCTCACTTTTCATCTGTCTTGTCTTCTACTTTCTTCCGTTTACTTCCAAACTTCTTGGCGGCTAGGGTTAACCCTGTGCAAATAGCCTACCTTGGTTATAGGCGCATTGGGTTATAGTTGCTTTGTACGGCTGGCGTCTGCAGGTTTTAGCATCCGCAAACTTGTAGCGTCCCCTCGTTGGGCTCCGTGGTTGGTGGCCGCCAACGCTTCTGAAGAAAATGAAATACTCATGCATAGAGCTTTTCTTATGTTAAATGATCGTACCGCCTTAAAGCGCGTACGCGCCGAAGACTTGCATTTTTTCAACCGTTCAAAAAAACACTTCTCCCATTTTCATGTCGTACATAGTGAGAAAAGTGGCAAGCAAACCAGAACTGTATCCCCCTTTGTAGTAGCCAGGTGTCTTACAGAAACTCTTGGGGCCAGGTACAAAGTTACCAAAATGGCCAGCGGAGACCTCCTCCTCGAAATTCGAGAAAAAGAACAGTTTGAGAAGCTACAAAATGTTTGAACTTTTGATGACTCCAATCACTGTAACACTATACAGATCAATGAACACAACCCCTGGAGTGGTATCTGATGCTGATTTGCTTGGCCTGACCGAAGAGGAACTTCTGGAGAGGTGGAAGAGTTGGAATGTCACCAATGTGCAAAGGATCACCGCCCCGTCGCGGTGGTCTAGTGGCTAAGGTACTCGGCTGCTGACCCGCAGATTGTGGGATCGAATCCCGGCTGCGGCGGCTGCATTTCCGATGGAAACGGAAATGTTGTAGGCCCGTTTGCTCAGATTTGGGCGCACGTTAAAGAACCCCAGGTGGTCCAAATTTCCGGAGCCCTCCACTACGGCGTCTTTCATAATCATATGGTGGTTTTGGGACGTTAAACCCCACATATCAATCTTACAAAGGATCATCATCAGAAGAGACAACAAGGTAACACCAACAAAACACCTAATGCTCACGTTCGCTTCCAGTAATCTGCCAGAAAGTATTCAAACAGGGTACACGAAGACCCCTCTCAGACCGCACATACCGAACCCTTGTCGTTGCTTCCAATGCCAGAGGTATGGCCATGGCTCTAAAAGCTGTCATGGGCGCCAGACTTGTGCACAATGTGGAGTCTAGGCCACGTGTCTGAGAACTGCAAACTGCCACACTGTGCAAACTGTGAAGCAAACCATGCCGCATATTCATGCTTCTGCGCATACAGGAAGAAAGAAAAAGAGATAAGTCCATTGAAGGTGAAGGAGAACATTTCATTTAAGGAAGCATGCTGGAGAGTCTCACCATTCTATGAACCTACATATGCTGATGCGGCGCGTCAGGGGGCACCGCCGCACTAGCCCTCGTCACTCCTTCGGGCCGCGCATACCGTGCCGGCGGTTGTGGCACCTGCCCCCAAGGCGGCTGTAGTCCAGATTACACCGCCTACTCCCGAACAGAGACCGGAGACTCCAGAGTCCTCAGGTCTCAAGGCCTCACCTCACCAGGCGAGGCCCAAAATTCGAACTAACAGCTCGCACGTGCGGGCATCCAGTGCCTCCGAGGAGGCAATGGATACGTCGGTACCCTTGGTGCCGAAAGAGCGGCACAGCTCCTTGGAGCGTGCAAAAAAAAAAAAAAAAAAAAAAAAGGATAACAGAGCCTGGTGACAGCCCTGTTACGTGAACTCAAACTCCCTGTCTAAACAGCCACTCGCTTTTCGTACACACAGCACTATTTTACATTCATCATGAACACTCAAATTATACAATGGAACGTCAGGGGCCTTCTCAGAAACCTTGACGACATCCAAGAACTTTTACACGAACACTCACCAAAAGTGCTGTGTGTACAAGAAACACACCTTAATTCAAAACACACCAACTTTCTTCGTAAATACATTATTTTTCGAAAGGACCGTGATGATGCTATGACATCATCCGGAGGTGTTGCCATTATAGTGAATCAAGGGATTGCATGCACACACAACTCTAAACATCCCTTTAGGCAGTGGCTGTTCGAGCAGTTCTTTTTGATAAGCTGATCACAATTTGCCCTATTTACATTCCTCCTAGCTATCAGCTACAAAAACGGGATTTACACTGTTTAATTGTTGAACTTCCGGAGCCTTGTGTTCTTCTTGGAGACTTAAGGGGGGCATGGGTCTTAGGGCTCTCTCATTAATTTTATGAACCAAATGGGACGAAAGTTGGCATGCTTACTTAGTTTGTTCTCCTGATTCTAAAAATATAGTGATTTTTTCTGTAGCTTCATTAGTTTATTAAATAATCAAGATAACAATTTCTATTGTTCTTACCACAATGGAAAAATAACCACCTGTCAAAAATTTATAAATGACATAGGGATTGACAGTAGAAAGCGTAAGACATACAACATAGGAAGCACTTTTTTGATTGGGGCATTATTTATTACTTTACAGTACACTAAACTTCACAGCTCTGAATGTGGCCATTGTGTGGTCACACAAAAGGCTAGTTTAAAAAACTTGCATCAAGATAAATCAAAATGTGCTTCCTATGTTGTGTGCTCGAAACATATAGCTTCATGCTGCAAAAAGAAATATTGTGCTATCTGTAATAGTTTCCGATATCTTGCAGTAATTTTCATGCAGGGTGTGCAAAATTGCCGTTTTGAGAAAATGAAGAAAACACAGAATTCTAACATTTTTAACTGTAAAAATGTATGTAGTTGGAATTACATGGCCATTGACATATAAATGAATGCTAGAAAGCCTAAGGGGTGCAACGCTGCAAGCTGGTTGAAAATTGAACGAGTACTTCTCGAATTACAGCACAGTTTATTGCATTGCATTAGAGCACAGTTCATTGCATGTAACCAAATGCAGAAATTTTTATAATAAAATAAAAAAAATGAAGCTGCCCATTAAAAATAGGCTTCCAGCATTGTTTTCTGTGCACATTTAGCTACATTGTGCAAAAACAATTACAGCTCTGGCTGTCCTAGGTCCACTTTTATTGAACAAGCAAAAGAAAGTGGTAAAAATTCGTGCTTCAAGAATAATGCTGTTAAAACTTTATTTCGCCGTTCCAAGGGAAAAAAATGTCATGGCACACATACTTTTAGTCAGTTAATATGCACCGGGAATGTAATAGGACTGACTGTTTGCACGAGCGTGTAGTTTCTTCTAGTCCTGTAGCAAGTTGTCGCCGTGTGCTCGTCTGCCGCGAGGCCGCTTATCAGTTCGGTAACTTTACTGACGGCGACGTGCGACAAATGTGCGTGCGTCATCTGCTATACGTCGAATAACATGGTGATGTTTTCCGGCTTGTCCAGAATGAGTTACCCGTAAATGTCGCGAACCAAAGTTGCTCCTTCACTCATCAATTTCGAGGCTACGCGAGTGCCGAGGTGCTAGTTTTCTTTTCACGTAAGACTGCCGCATTTTCGAGCGGAGATCGCGACAACGTTGCGAACACGTCGTTAAAAGCAGTCTGCCAGTTGCCAGTAGCCTCTATTGCGGGGGTGGCGAGTATTTTCACCGCGAACGGATTGACTTTCTGTTGTTCGTCGATGCGCGGCATACTCCACTCTGACGACCCGTCGCGCAGTTCAAGGTCCTTTCGTCAGGCGGGGAGAACCGCGGCATCCGCGTGTTTAGCGATAAGACTGCACTTCCGTTCCGTCACTACAAAGATTGATATCTCGTGTAGCTTCACTTCTGTTTTTTACTTGCCGTCCTCTAACTGATGAGGCTGCAAAACACAGCCGTTCTCAGTAACGTTGTCGGCAACCAACG